GCTGAGTAGCTGGGAGTCACAGGACTCTGGGGACTGGGTTTTCTAAGTTACAAACTACTGATCTATGCCATAGCGGGAAGCCCAGCTCTAGACTGGGCTAAGCCTTCACAAACTCACTGCTCTTCCTTTTAACAAAAGATGTTTCTGCTTTTCACGGCGGTTGATTGTTGGAGATGAGTGGGTAAATGGGGAAATGGCTTCACGCTTTTTCGTATTTCTGTTGAGAAGGTCTAAAGGGAAGATGCTACCTGTAAAACTCTGAGCACAACTAAAATAAATAAATATGGAGTCACACATTTTTCTGGCCTGCACGGTTGCTCCTGTGGAAAGGGATGGTGAGAGTCTGCAGGAAAGAAGCTCTCCTGAGATTTTTCTCTTTTCTTCATTCCTTTGATGAAGCTATGAGTAAAAAAAAATGGTTAAATATCCAAAACGAGCTTGTTTTTCTCCAGTTTGCTTTTTACCACATCATACTGCAGGCCTGAAATACCAGAGTCTGAGGAAATGAAACTGCTAAAAAAGGGCACGCTGCAGCTACTCTCGTTTGAGGTTACCGTTAATCAGACAGTTAGTGACCTCTCAGGAATCCATGGCTGACTGGAAGAGCCAAGAGTGTCTGTACCTGTGCGTGAGGGGGTTTGGTGTTCGCCCACCAGAACGGACAAATACGGCACGTCAGATAAACTTAGCCTAAGGCCAAAACTGAATGTTCCAGGATGTCGTCAGGCTCTAGGGATGTTTATGAAATCCTTGAAACCCAAGTAACAGTAACTGAACTCGCCTATTTCACTTGTTGAAACTTCCTGTCAGTTTGTAAGAACCTGAAAATACAGAATGCACTGAAGAGAAAACGAAAGGCTGAAATCTTAGGCATCAGGCACCTTCTCTTTCCCAGTAGTTTCTGGAATTGAGGAGAGTCTAAGTTCAAGGAGTAAAGTGATAGCTAGATCATGCTTAAATGAAAGGGTCATGACTTGGAGACGTATATTTGCTTGTATCACTCCCAGTGAATGAGGGCTTTTACCCAAAGGTGCCTGGGATGCACTCGGCTCCTTTTCCTGGGCTGTTACCGATGACGGCACGTTCGGTGCAGCTAAGGCAGTGACTGTAGAAAACCTAGGGTCACTGTGTTCCTTTAAGAATTAGATTGGTTTGGGGCCAAACCTGCATCCTTTTATTGCCAAACTGAGACTTTGACTTTTCTACTTCTTGCAAGCCCACGATAGATGCCACTCAGCAGCAGGCTGCTGTTTAAAGCCAGTTTGCGGGGCATTTTAGGAAGCTTTGTACAAGTTTGTGTATGGAACAGCATCAGCTGCTATTTGTTGGAAATATCTGGCCCTGTGGACTTAGGACTAGCTGAGCTCACTCTTGGCCAAGTGCGATCTGAGAATGAACAAATAAAATTATTGCACAGCAAAATAAGCTTATTGAAACATTACAGTCACTATAGTTAGTCTGAACTACAACAGCAAAAGCTGGTGCTCTGAAAGTGGAAGACAACTGTTTTCTGGGAAATGCCTGTTGGACAAGCATGCTTTCCGAAACAAGTTTGAGTAACTGCTGCCGGGCTGCTTCTAACAGTTCACGGTAAGAAGCCTTACTTAGGCTGCTGAATTTCTTCTAGCTGGTCAGAACACTCCCCTATTATTTATAACCTATGTTACAAAACTTCCCTTCTGGAGGGCTCAGATTTTGCCATGGCTAAAACCACTTCTGTTGAAAACTATTCTTATAAATGCATTCGAATTCTTGACTCTGCAGAAATGGATGTTTGGTTGGTTGGTTTAGCAGTATCATTCTGGAGGACTGATTTGTTAAAACTGAACTTGGCTAAGGCTTGCACTTGCATCCTACATTTTTAAAAAATCTACGGATACTTCTGCACGCGGTAATTACCTACGTCTCATTTGGCCGTATCTGTACATAGGGCAGGCACTTTTGCCACCGGCTTTGGTACCACATTGCACTGCTCACACTACATCGAGGCTGTCTGTATAGGACTAGCTGGTCAATGGTTCACCCTGTGAAACCTCCGGATTGTACGCTGCAGGCCATTCAGCTTGGCCGAGCGTTTCAACTACAAGGAACGGCTTCTTCCTCGCCCCTTTGAGCGCAGCCACCTCCCCCTCCGCTTCTGCGCAGAGACGCGACGTCCTGGCGTGGGCTGCCCGGCGCAACGCAGGCCATGGGGAACAGCGCGCGTTGCCGTGGCCCATTCCAGCTGATCTGAAAGGGAGCTGTGCTGTTAAAATGCGATCCGGATCATGAGCTGGGGGGGTTCACCTCTTTCCCCTGTTCTTCAGTCTAACGTTACCACAGTTTTCTTTTGGCAACCGTGCAGCCTCTGGAAGGGCTACAGGGAAGTGCCAAAACCAAGCGGCGGGAGCCAAGCAGCACGCAGTCTTCGCACAGTTCTCCAGTCTCTCCGGTGGCGCACCGAGGCTCCAGAAGGAACAACCGTTACTGCTGGAAACACCCGCGTGCAAGTCCTCTCTCAAACAACTGCTCATGTGTTAGGCTAGGCAACAGTTTTAGAGGAGAAATTCCCAGACAGGTTTAAAAGCACTTTATTAAAAATACAATTTAAAGACTTCATTGGAAAATAGAGCAGCCTCTGTACAGTGATGCTTTAAAAGTCCGCGTAAGTTGACTAAGTACAAAAATAATGCTCTCCTGTTGGCATGAGCCTGAATGGGGAGAGAACGAACTGGGAGGCTCTTGACCCACGCACATTTCGGCAGCGGTGAGGAGGTGGCAGGGCAAGAGCAGAGGTGCTAAGGGAGGTACGACGTCTCAGCTTCACCAGGTGTTTCACTAGTGAGGACTCCAGGACTGGAAGTCTCTGCCGCAGTGAGAGATCTGCACTCTCATTCCTTTCTGTCTTGCAAATTAAAGCTGTGATGGGTTTTAAAACTGCTTAATTGACTCAGTTTCAATGTTAGTAGCAAAGTAGTTAAATTGCAGTGAGCGCCAGGCTACAGATAATATTCCCATGTCTTCGTGGTGGGAAGTAGCTGTGATACTACTGCAGCGGAAAGGAGATAGGCTGGATTCCTGAGGTGTGCTTTACCCTAAGGTATGTCAGAAGTGAAGGGAACTGGAGGCTTGGTTACTTGGTGACTTGGATTTTCTGCTATTGAAACCTGACGGAGTATGGCCCAGGGCACTGCTGAAGGCTGCCCTGAAGCCTAATGGGGAGCAAGAACGGCTCGCCCTGGCTCCAGCCAGTGCCATTCTCGGTTGCTTTTCGTTATCTCTAAGCTCAGTCGGGTTAGCTAGAAATAACTACAGATCTTGCTAAAGCCAGCATCCAGGCTAGTTAACCTGTCTGGTCCCGAAATGGGAGCTGCAGATGGCGGCTGGTGCCTTAGCGCTTCCCCTGGGACAACTCTGCGGTTGGGGTGTCATTTCTGACACTAGAACCGACGCACCCAGGAACAGGTAGCTGAGGTAAGGGAGTTAATGAAAACAGAAAACTTCAGCAAATTATGTACATTGAACATGACTACCAAAACCCCCCAATGTAACCCCTTCCAAATGAACATAAACGCTGCCCCTCCTCAGACTTCAGGCCTATTCCCTTTCTCTGGTCCCATTCCGCAGTACTGTAACGCTGTCTAACAGGGTGCTGTGCCACTTCCATGGCTTCAGTAAGCAGCTCCGATGGAGAAGCCATTAGTCCTTCCTGAACGAGGGGGTTTAACAGGAATTCCACTTGGAGGAGGAAGCGGGGGGCAGTGCAGGGAGCTGGCTCTGCATAAGTAACTTGTCTTCCAGATGCGTGATTAAGTGCTTGCGGTTATGATCTGGTAACTGAGGAATATTTTTTTCATTAAGCTCTGATACAGCTGTGGTCATACTATAGTCCTTAGTGTACAACTTCTGAAGGAAAACGCATGTCTGGCTCTAGTTAGCTTCACTCAGACCATCATTAAAATGCAAGTCACGGCTGCGATTTCAACAAGTCAGTGGCTTTATTGGACAGACTTCACGGGCAAGAACGTAGACTTAAAACCTATCTGGCCTTGTTTGCAAGGGTCTGTGCGGATGGCCTTGTTTTGGTTGGTTTTTTTAATAGCGTGTGATCGAATACTTGTTATGGTATTTACAGAGGGATTTTATTAGGAGTGCCACGGCTGTGTGTGAGGTGAGAACTAACATAGGAAGGGGAGGGCTCTGCTAGTGCCCTGCTCTGGTCTGGCTGCACTTTCAGAAACGCACACAATACTGTCTGTGCCCATAGGGCAGTACGGCTCAGGAGCTTTCAGAAAATGGAGTTGTTGGGGATCATGGGAACTTGCCCCTGGGTATTTGAGAAGAGCTTTGGGGGGTTTCGAGGTTGTTGGGGTTTTTTTCTTAAATGTTTGAGTCTCTTGGCCATCTTGAGCAGGGCAAGGTTATGGAGTAACTGCAAAAGACCTTTTGCGTCCAGGTGCACGAGTTCAGGTCCTTCCTCCCGAAGTTTTCTCTCTGTGATAGTTCT